ACGTTGGTGCTCGGCAAGTATGGTCGGGTGTTAGTCATGGCCCTCCAGTTTGGGTCGTGACAATAGGGGTCGACAAGGCCGTTGACATGTCATACTTAAAGCTATACACAGGACACTGTCTGCAAAACCTCTAAGAAAACATGATCATAATATATAAGTCGGGATAGGGCCCCCGATATCTTCATAAAACAAAGTAACATATGTAGAACATGACTCGGCAATACTCCAAGAAGATGTGGAGCTCACCAAACAAAAGCTAATATCTGGAGGCAGCCTACAGTGGATGATCCTTACCTAGCCTATCTACACCTGCGTGGCATGAAACACAGTGCCCCAGGAAAAGGGACATCAGTACGAAGAATGTACTGTACTCTTTTATAACCGCAAAATTTTTGATGGAATTACACTTCTGTTGCTTAAATTATTTGAATGAATCAATTTTTACCTAGTGGAAATGCTTTGTACAAATTTTTCAAGCTTCAGTTCGTTGAATAAATTGAGCTTCTGCTCTTGAAGGATTCAAACTTAAGAAAGGATTTTGGTTCTTTGTCTAATGAAATGAAAATGGATCAGATTGTAAGTCTTTTACCCATTAATTCCAAATGTTCCTAGTTAGCCACCTAGGCTTTGAATGACTAAGTGCCACGGTTTTTTTGGGGGGAGGGGGGGTAAATTAATTTATTAAATTTTTCCACTTATTAGTTAACTAGGTAATGTCTTGTTACCCGGTAATTAATCATTTACCCCAATAATTTAAAAATTATCTCAAATTACTTAAAATTCTATTTATTTTTAATATACATTATATATATACTTTATATATTATACTACCATGGTCATATGTACCTTTCATGGTACTATTCATAATTATCGGATATTATCGCTCAACCCTTATTTTATCCCAAATTGGCCACTTTCAACGAAACTTTTTTCTTTAATTCGTGTACCCTTTATCCTTCATGACACTTATTTCTCGCTTTTTATAAATAGCGTAAATACGTTAACCTCAAGATAATCTCATCCCCGAGTCTATGTCAATTAAATGAAGACAAAACTTTTAACGTACGAAAACGCGAGATGTAATATCCTTCCCTCCTTAGAAACATTCGTCCTCGAATGTTTAAACTCTCAATATGTACATATATATATATCATGCTCTTATGGGGTCAAGACATCGTCCATCCTTAAAACTACTTCCTAATCAATTCGTCACCTATGATTATGTTAATCTATCTTCTAGGCGCTGACACCTATTAGTTGTAATCTTAATAACCGGGTTCATGCTTTGCTTTCAGACTAGCCTTGGTTTGCCTTAACCCTTCAGACGTAATGCCAACTTACTCTTACATTAATCATATTAACTGGACAATTTGCGTTAATAAGATCGAACATTACCAATAATCACAATACCTGGCATATCATCCGGTGTAGCCTCTAGGTCTTGCCAGCCTACTAAAGCATATATGCAGTTCTAACTACCGTCGGAGCTAGATTCTCCACCACTACCTCTGCCTCTACCAGCTGATGCCTGAGGGCCTCGTTCTTGAGGGTATACTGAAGAGGGGGAGACTGTTATAGATCTGGTGGGCTGAACCATCCTGCTTCTGCCATTCATAGGAAAATCCCTCATGTAATGACTAGGGTCTCTGCAGGTATAGCATACATTAGACCCCTGACGACATTGTCCAGAATGAGCTCTACCGCATTGATTGCACCGTAGAGGGGGCGCCCTCATTTGTGCTGAATCCATCTGATTCTGAACACCCAAAAATCTCGAGCCCTGACCTAATTTAGAATAGACAGATCCCTCATAATATGGATTCTGCAACTGTCGGACACTTTCAATAGTGTATGGTGACATAAGATCACCCAAAAAATCATCAGGTCGCCTAGTAGACCTAGCCTTCTTATATTGACCCCCATCATGATTCTCGTATTGTTTTTGTTTCCGATCCTCTAAATTTTGAGCATAATCCTGGATGTGGGATATATCCATACCAACGAGTAGAGCGACCATGAAGCATTCATTAATCAGGTGTGGCCCAAGTCCTACCACAAATCGATGCACTCGATCACTCATTTCAGCCACAATCGAAGGGGGCATACCTCGCCAAGGAATCAAACTGGAGGATATACTCCTGCACACTTATATTCCCTTGTTTAAGAGCCAAGAACCTGTCTACCCTTGCCTGAAAAATCTCTGCCGGCAAGTAATGACGCAAAAATGCCCCTGAGAACTCTTCCCATATCGGTAGGGATGCATTTGTCCATCTAGAAGATTCCAAAGTTTCATACCACTGAGCTACAATATCTCGCAATCAGTATGAGGCCAACTCTACTGACTCGGTGTCTGATGCATGCATTGCCCTCAAAGTCCTCTGCATCCTATCAATAAAGTTTTGCGGGTCCTCATCCTTGTTGGATCCGATAAACACTGGAGGGTCCATATTGATGAAGTCTCAAACTCTCGCACTAATAACCCTGTTAATGTGACTAACACTTGTACCAACCTCGCGCTGAGCCTGAGTGGCTACCAATCTAGTCAACAACTGTACTGCACTCTGCATATCCATATCGTCATCTTGAAGAATAGGTGGAGGTACTGGGTTCTTCCTCATCTCCTCGGGTGCTAACAAAATGGGAGAACTATGCGACGGTGTCGTATTGTCATGACCCAAACCGATAGGCCGCGACGGTACCTTACTCAACCGAGTACCAACGTAATGTATCTTTCTTATTACATCATCATATACATGTGACATACGGGCCTAATAGGCCAACATGATCATTTATAAACTCAAAACATAGGCCGACAAGGTCGTACAATCTTTCACGTACACGACATATGTCTACAAGCATCTAAGAGTACATAAATGTCATAAAGTTTGGGACAAAGTCCCGACATACCAAACAATACACGTCTAAATAATACTAGCCAAACAAGCAACTCCGAAGCAAATGGAGCGCACCAACATCTTCTACTGAGCTGATAGCCTACTTCGAGGGCTCTCGACCTGTCTATCGGGACCTGCGGGCATGAAATGTAGCATCTCCAAGCAAAAGGGACGTCAGTACAAAAAATGTACCGAGTATGTAAGGCACATAAATAAGTGCATAACAGACATGGAAAAAATATAGAGTTATTGACTCAACTTGTAAGTCTGGATAACTCTATAAATCATGAAATATTGTTAAGGNGCTCTTCCGATCTACATATACATATACATGTACGCGTATATAACGCCATCTGATCACGGGTCAATGTACATGAATGCAATTCATGAAAAGTACATTAACAAAATCTTTCGGAATGTCATAAGACCATTTTGCCTTTGAGTAATATCAAAAAGTAAACTTTTTCAACTTTTGTATTTTTCTGAGACCCATAAACAGATGATAAAATAATATGACAACTGGAAATTCAAGAACACAGATATCTCTAATACTTCTATGAATAGAGTCATTTATGGAATTTGTGCATTTGCATGTTTCATTCGTATCGTATGGATCATGCCAAAAGAAAGAAGGGATAGCCTTAACATACCTGGAGTAGGGAAAACTTCATATAATATTCTTGTAAGAGAATTCGATTGCAAGAAATCTCGTTGCTAATGAAGTGTTTAGACCAGAACTTCGTTGAAGATTTCATAAGAATTGCACGTTTTTGTAGACTTCTTAACTATTCATTCCTATGTTCTAATTTTGTAGGAAATGGCTAATGTTGTGATCTATATCTTTTTATTCAAGACATATAAAGTGAAGCTTTGTTAAAACCTTTTGAAAATGGCTAATGTTTCCTGATATTAAGAATGCTATTACTTTGATTCCATACAAAGTATAAGAAAGTGGGGTGTCTTTATTATGGCATGTTGCCACCTAAGCAAATTGGACTCTTAGTCACTTTGTTTGGTTAGCCTAATGGCTTCCACATTTTGGGGGGGGGAGGATTAATCTTATCCAAATATATTTCCAATTAATTAGTTAATGTCCCATTACCCGATAATTAATCTATTACCTGTAAAATTGAGAATTATTCCCACTTACTTAAAATATTAATCACTTTTCACATACCTTATACACCTTAATATTATGGTCATGTGGTACCTTATATGGTACTAGTCCATAAATACCGAGTATTTTAGCTCGAGCCGATTTTATCCCAACATGCCAAACTTGGACGAAAATTTGTTTTCTTTGACTTGCTTCCCCTTTCACCTTTACAAATTTGCTTATTACTTGTTTGAAATAGCATAATCCTTATAATCTCCAAATAATCTTTTCCTTGGACTGATATTAGTTACCTTATGATAAATTCAACGTACAACATTACAGGGTGCAACATCGTCATAATGTAGTACTGCGGGACGTGACATCTCACTTTCGGGCTCTTATTAATTTATTTATGGCATATTTTCATGTACGAAAATATGGGTGTAACACATATTTCCCCTCGGGGCCTCACTCTGGTCCTCTCTAGATATTGGTACTCTACTTATGCCCTCATCTGCCCCTACTTTACCCTTCTGACTAGCCATAGCATTCCTGGTTATAGGCATTGTTGCATATATAAAACAAGTCAAAGGTCAATGGCTTTATTCCCTATGACTCTGCTCTATTGCACGATCTAATTCAAGGGGCAAAGGCGTCGCGAGCTAGAGATTTAGCCGGTTCAAGGTGAGTAATGATTGTAAATGATGTTCTGAGGGTTTGAAATCCCAGATTGAACATTGTAGTGCTATATTGAGGTGAGGCACACGCTTGATGACGAGCGTGGGGTCGTGCACTATTGGGGATTGTGACTTGGTCCGTCCCGATTGATGATTTTACTGCGTATTTGATTGAAAACTATTTGCTATCATCATTATTTAGGCTAAATGCCATATTTGGGCCTAGATCCAACTATTTGAACCCTTCGGAGATTTTTATTGATATTTCCTCACTATTTGACTTTATACTTCAACTCAGTCATGTTATTTTCCACTATTTTACTACTCAGCCATATTTACTCAGTTTTTAATACTTAAATAATATTTTAAATGATGTTTGGGTTGAGAAACACTGTTTTACTATTCCCCGAGGGGATTATGAGGATTTTTGACTGAGTAAGGCTGAGGGCCTATGTTGCGAGGAAACACTGATACTGATTTGAGGTCGAGGGCCTGAGATATGTATGCCACAAGGTGGCTTGATTGATATGAGGTCGAGGGCCCAGTTTGGTGCCACGAGATGACTTGTTATTGCGTTTGGGCCGTAAGGGGCCCCTCCAGGAGTCTGTACACCCGTAGTGAGCGCGGGTACCCATTGTGATGTGAGATTGAGCTCGAGGGGCTGGTACTATTCTCAGATGTTGCCCGAGGGGCGGGTTTTTTTTATACTGTACCCGAGGGGCTAACTTCTATTTGTTTACGTTACCTTAATTACTTGTTTACTTGTTGAAAGACAATTTTTACTTGACTTTCCACTGTTTTACTGCTTTTAAATGGTTTTACGGCTTCATTATAGAATGTTTTGTGCCTTACGTGTTTTCTTACTTTCAGTCTTTATTTACATTTGTTACTCACTGAGTTGGAGTACTCACTTTACTCCCTGCACCCTGTGTGCAGATTCAGGCGTAGCTGGCACCGCTCTCAAGTGTTGATACCTCCAGATTCAGGCGGGTTTTTGGAGATTACGAGGTAGTTGTTGGCATCCGCAACCCCGTGTCTCTACTCCTTTATCATTTCTATTTCCCTTCAGACAACTCTTTTAGGTATGGATTTAGCAGAATTGTATTATGACTTATTGATGCTCATGACTAGTGACACCCCGGTTAGGGCTGTGTTGGGTTGTACTTCCGCACTTTATTGGCATTATTCGCTACTTATTATTGTTATATCATGTTTTAGACTGCTTTTATGTTATTTAACTGTTTAAAAAGTGAATTGGGTTTAATTGGCTGGCCTTTTCTTCACGAGAGGTGCCATTACGACCGGGTTCGGGTTTAGGGTCGTGACATTTACTCTCTTGACTAGATCTCTCGGTACTTAGAAACCGTAGGCTGGAAGGTATGTCACTGACGATGTTGCTATCATTCCTGGATATTGAATCCTAGTGCTTCTAGCCTTCTATCCGAAGCATGTACTATTCACAATCTTCTTCCTTTGAGTATATTGTATGTTGTTCACCTTTAACTTACTTACCTTAAAATCTCGCATCGTATCTTTTATCTCTTTCATGACCTACCTTCCACATAGGTATAATTCACGTCCATAACTTGAAGCTCTATTATAATACTTGCACCTCTGGTGTATACAAATGTACTCCATTCGGTCTTGTCATCATGGCCATTCATGAAGTAGGGAATGGAAATCGTTGGTCCTCTTCCATGGGCACCAGGTAAAACTCAATTTATTTTATTTATGACTAACTATTTTTCTAAGTGGGTTTAAGCACAAGCCTTCGAGAAAGTTAGGGAGAAGGAAGTCATCGACTTCATTTGGGACCACATCATATGTCGGTTCGGGATGCCATCCGAAATTGTATGTGACAATGGGAAACAGTTCATCAGCAGTAAAGTAACCAAATTTCTTGAAGATCACAAAATCAAAAAGATTTTTAAGTAATTTATGATAATTTTTAAATTATGCGGGTAATTGATTAATTACCGGGTAACAGAACATTACCCGATTAACTAATAAGTGGATAAAAATATTAATAAAATAACCCAAGAAAACGTGGCAGAAGGCCACTACTTAGGAAAATGACTCATATTGATTATGAGTAGGTGGCTGTCATAGGTTACTTAATTATTAACAAAGCAAGATTTAGAAAAGGTCTTTGTTCCATGTTCATTTTGGAAAGAACCAGAATATCCTTTAAGTTCCAAATAGAAATCATATGTAAAAGTCTCCATTTTTCATTTGAAAAAGGAGTAACGTAGTTCCTCAAAAAAAAGACATTTTGGTCTTTGGGTTCAAAGAGAAAACGCTAAAGCTAGCTTCAGTTAGAAAGTAATTCGTTCATCAATTCAATTTTAGCCAACATTTTAATTTCAAAGAGATATCAATGCTGTTTCTGAATTTCGAGAGGTTCGAAGCAGAATTTTGTCCATATTTCGCAGAAGCA